CATGTGCTTGGATGCGTATTTGAATAAATCCTCTAGTCCTTCTAGCTGTTGTATCAACAAATGAAAAAAGTATAAGCATCACAAGTGAGAAATAAGAAAAAAAAGGTTCTTAGAAAAGATGGGGGAGTAGGACTAAGTACAAACCGTATCAGTGAGGTCCTTGCGGCTCATGTATGGGCCTAGCGAGTCGAGCACTTGAACACATTTTTTTCTGGCATTTATAACACATAGGTACCAGTGAATGTCGTCGTTGTTTATTGGATGTATATCTGAAGAAAATGATTATTTTAATTGTACTCGTATGTGGACGAATCAGTCGTTTTTGCTGTAATTCATAGAAATATGTAGAAAAGTAAGACTAACCATATCATTTTCCAAATATTATTTGGCTCTGTTTAATACCCATGCTGGTGCAGCATCCATGTCATCTGAGGGCAGATAGCTACCGATCTTCATCATCTTAGAGATGCATGCATTCTCTAAGAACACACTTCCACCTGACCTTACTTGTAGATACTCCGTAAAAATCATGCAATTTATGTACGTATTTATGACCTACAATTAAAAGTATACATAGTATATTAGATGACACATACTTCTAATCAAATAGCATCTTCATGTCCTAATATACTTACTTCGTGGCCAACCCATTCTTTGGGAGATAGAAGAGATAGTACCTTGGTGGGCGAATATCCTAGCTTCTTCGTCAGGCTCAACGTATTCAGTTTCAATAAGGTTTTCACCTCCCAAGCAGTCTATAGTAGACAAATATTAGTTTGTAATAATTATAAGATCTCCTAAACTAAACATAGAACCGTAGATGCATTAATGTGTAACATACATATTTGTTGTGTTGTCATCGGGCTCCAGTATTCCATATGCATCATCGTCATGGTCGTTGCCTGACAGCATATGTTGCAAAATGGGCAAGTATCAGCGATGAATGAAAGGTATGAACCAATATGTAGTCAATTAAAGCACCATTATAATTGTCGACGGGATAGTGTCCACGTGACGACGCAGTGAGTATGTTGTCTCACCTCATCCTCCTTCCAATGTTTTGTATCAGGTATGTATCATTTGTGTGTAGCCAATCACAATCTTCATCAGCTACAGAAACATTGAGTGAATCTCAGTTAGGAAATCAAAGATAAGATATACAGTGTTTCATGTAGCTGGCATCACCTGTATCAGATTGGTTTTGTTCTCCAGTTGTAAGCACTACTATAGATTTGGCAGCACGACGTTTGTCACGTAGGCTTTGCAATATCTCTTCTTTATGTTGCTCATACCGGGCATTTTCCATCTGCCTCTCCAGTGCTTGTTTTGCTTCTGTATAGTAAGTGTGAATTAGGTTCAAAACAATGTGAGCAACACACGTTTATGGTCCATGTACTATGTATGTGTGAATTATGTATGATAGTTAATATGAGCCAGAAATGATTACCATATGAACTGCTGCATCTGTAGGCTTGAAGTGGCGGTCGTAACACAGTCAGTTGGGAGGACTCAATGGCAGAGTTGATATTATTAATATTTTCATTGTTAGAGACGACAATATCTGGTGTTGTTAGTGAACATGGACCATGAAGTGGAGTCTGATCACTAATTACCACATCAACAGGTATGCCTGCATCCAAATTGTATTACCAAAGTCAGTTGCTGACACACAAAAGCCGCTAGTATGTTTGGATGTAGGAGAACACATGACCTTCCACAACTGGTGTGTGTCGTTGTTGGGTGATAGCAAACTGTGCACTGGGCATCTCCACGGTGTCAAAACCTGTCCAAAGGGAAAATTAATTAACATGAATTTAGCTGTGATTAGTGAAATGTATGATAAAGAACAGAGAAAATTGAGTAACCAGGCGACATGGCCACGGGTGGCTTAGATGGAGTGTTGGTTCCATTTAAAATAGCGGACATAGCTTTCTTACGATCCCTTGCCTCCTTTCTTTTTTTCAATATTGCATCCCTGTTTAGTGCATACCTCTCCCTTTCCCTCTGTCTCTTTAGTTCTTTTGGATCTATTTTTTGACCTGCAAGGCAATGACATAGTCGATACTTACATGATCTTAGTAGCTAAGAGTAGGTGATATTTGTATTTACCTGAATTGTCGTTGTTCGTCAGGTCCTGAAAGGGAGTACGTACTCCACTACGCTGAGATCCAGACATATTGTCTTCTCAATGGCTCCCGTTGTGAAACACTTACTGAACCGTGCCTCAACTCAGTTTGCTATGCAAATCATGATGTACTGTAAATATCAAATTTCCGGTTGTCAGATTAAAAGAGCAATTCCCTTTGTCTTATGTCTGACCAAAGGACGTGCAATTTCAGTTGATCTAACCTGTGCACTGGCAGGTCCGGAAGTAGTCAGATGTCCTGGAGATGTTGCTCGCCACCGAGGTGATGACACCGGATGTAAGGCAGCGCGGCGGGTCGAGGACGTCTTAGACACCTGGGGAGAGGGCGGCGTGGCGACGACGGCGTATTGAGGAGAGTTAGGGTTGCAAGGCGGGTCGAGGACGTCGCGAAGACCAGGGGCGAGGGCGGCCGGGCAGGGCGGAGCGGAGCGAGGACGGCGGGGCGGCGTGCCGACGCGAGGTTCGTGGCGTGGTGGTGGCGTTGATCGCGGAGATACTGTTTATTCGCTGGATGGATGTGTCATCGTTGGGATGTGTAGGAGCCTCGACGTGGGAGTCTGCCGACAGAACATTTGCTTAGAACCGTCGATCTGGTTCATGTATGGTTGATGAAACATGGACAGTTGGATGATACTAAGTGGGTCTGATCGGACGTCTGGGGTTATCCTGTGTGCACTTCCTTGTGTGGATGTAGGGGAAGTCATGTTTGGTTTTTTAATAGTAGATATAGATATAGATATAGATATAAATATAGATATAGAAAAAGGATGCAGGTTTACAAAAAAAATACCAACATGCCCGACATAATTTGTATCCCCGTGTGCCTCTTAATAGGCCAGCCCAGCTCGGATGCTCAACGGGCGATCAGACGGATATGTATTGCTATACATTAATACATATCATTTACGTTGATGGGAACGGTGCGGCGGTGCCGAACCCGTCATTGTTTTCTTCTAGTGATTCATTCTGTAATTCTTGATATTCACACTTATACATAACCAAAAAATACGCTCCAAAGCACGGCGATTTCTCACATCTGAAAAAAGATCATACCTTATTCTTGACGAGACGCATGGATTTCGTTGTTGTGTGCATGACTCTTAACAAAACGAAGACCCTATTGGTTTCTCATCGTGAAGTATGCCCCACGATAGCCGCCTGGGGCCTCCTCAACTGCCTTCTTAATAGTAGCCTATAAAAGGCTACCACTACCTCACCTCTCTCCCATTGACCATTGCCCTCTCTAGCACCTCCTAAATTTCTCTGGCCCGCATCCATTCCACCTCTTCATAACATGTTTTGAAAACCATCTTTGGTCCCGTGGACCCCTTCTAGGTGCAGCTAGGGTCTTGCCGAGCTTGCGAGGGAAGATGCGACTGCACCGATGCTATCTTCTGGGCATCGTGGCTCGCGATGCTGTCGTCGTGGTGGAAGCATGGTCGCCCTGGATCATGGTTGTCGAGGCGGTTTTTGCCGGCATCAAGGCCCACATTCCCGCTTGGCCCCGCCCTCGTCCATGTGGTCTTGGCCGGGTTGGTGATCGCCATGGAGGTGGTGGCCCTGGTGGTCATGGCCATGGTCAGGACTAGGCCCCAGCAGCGAATCAATTTGTTGGTGCCGCATATTAGCTAATTAATTAGCCTAATAGTTTAACTATGTTCCATTAATGTAAGTCACAATGCAAATAATTTTTTGCTCGATTAGAGATCAAGTCAAATTGAACATGTGTTGCGAATTTCAGATTATTTGGAAAGAACCTTGTAGCCAATGACAATTGAGCCCTGCATGTAAGAAAAATATATGAAGCTGTCTCTTGGCGTGGCAACCTCCATATCCATATGGAGTGCTTCATGGAGTGTGCCAATGTGGGAACTCTGCTAGAGGTGCTCTAACATTTCTCTAGTGGTTATGTATCACATGGATGTAACTAACTAACTAACTCACTAGTTGGTCCAAGTGGAGGTTTCTTCTTCTTCTTTGCAGGAAACCGGGGGATTATTTCATTATTGCCGCCACTATAATTGTCCTACCATGGAAATTTAGACGACAATAACTCCCACTAACACGAATACCAAGGGACATGAAGTTTCTGCACCAAATTCATATGCACCCACATGAACAGTAAAATAAAAAAAGAGTAAAAAATGAAAATTTTAGAAAACAAACATTGATGAATTCTAAACATGCGTGCAAAATTTCATGAAGAAACTACATTCAAAAAATGCTTCCATGAAAAAAATGATGCTCTGAGAAATAGACTTTTTGGAGTGTCAATATTGTTTTTTTACATATTTTTGGAATGTTATTTCTTCATGAAATTTTGCACGCGTGTTCAGAATTTGTCAATGTTTGTTTGCAAAAAACTCAGTTTTTATTTATTTATTTTTACTTCTTTTTTATTTTACTATTCATAAAGGGTTTGGTAAGTGGTAACTAGATCCCATAGCCAAACTTTGAGAGAAGGTAGGCATTGTATTTTCCTCAAACTTTAGATATCCATACTCAGTTGTCCCTACTCTCCTATATTATTTGTTATTTCACAAAAATGAATTTTTGTCATAGATTTTTTTGAGTAACAATTTTTTTCATCATAGATGGATATTGGCAGCCCTTACCAAGCCCAGGCCCGTCTCACTGACAGCTGAGCCCCACCTCTAGTACTACATCGCAATTTGCAAACCCAAGTACCCCAATCCCTCGCGCGGTCATTTGGATTTCGGAGTTGAATCCGCTCGCGCGTCTTCTTTGCCGCCCCCCGCGACTCTTCTCCCCTCTTTCCCCGCCCGCGCTTCCCTCTTCCTGCTCCCGATCGGTTTCGGTGGTCTCTTCTCGCGCGTCCCGATCTGCTCCGGCCATGGGCGCCACCGTCTTCCCCCACTCCCTGGCCTCGCGCGGACCCGCTGCAGCCCTCCCCCGAGCCTGCGCGTCCTCCACCATCCGCATTAACCCCGCCTGCGTCGCCAACCCCACCGCCACCGCCGCCAAGAAACCGAAGCGGCCAGGGTCGTTCGACTGCGGGGATCCGCCGGCGAAGCGCGTGCCCGGTGTTTCCGGCAAGGTCGAGCCCGATGCCAGGACCAAGAAGAGCCCGCGTCCCTGCCCCGTCAGCGACGAGGATCCGCGGAGCTCGCTGCCCCGCGGCGTCCAGGCCTCCCGCGTGGCCAAGAACCAGAGCAGCGCCTCGCCGACTCGTCCTCCCGAGCTCACGGCGCCACCCAAGCCTCCAGCCTGCAGCATGCGCGAGCTCCTCCAGAAGGCCCGGCTTGCCAAGAACCCCGGCAGCGCCTCTCCGCCGAAGCCGGTTGCCTGCGGCGTGGGCGAGCTCCTCGAGAAGACCCGTCCCGCCAAGGTTAGTCCTGCTGCTGCCGATGCTGATGCTCAGCCTGAGGCCATCCACCGGCGCGAGATCGAGCGGCGGAGGGCCGAGGCCCGCCGTGAGCTGGGGCAGATGGTTCGGACGGTGGAGTTCAACGACGCATTCATCGATCCCCAGGACGTGCTCAGGTGAAGCCAGGGATCCATCCATCTCGGAGCAGAGCGATGAACAGAGCAGGATCGATACGTCCAACAAGTGGAGAATTCAGGCTTGATTATTTAGCCTAAGCATACAAGTGCCATATGTATGTGTAGTGTAGGTGTATGCAGGTTCAGTTAGTCTGGCAGTTTCATTGTTAGTGCGAGTGTGATTCCCCCTTGTAACTAAGTAAATTGGGAAGTACTGTAATACATTAGTTGATCACTTGATTAATTCAGAGACAAAGTTTGATGATGTTGTTCAAATTATTGTTTCGTTTGTCTTCAGTCCATGCTACTGACACTAAAGCAGTCAGCACTAAAAGTTTGAGTGTTTTACTGAAAAAGAAATCTAACACTTGTGAAGAACGGGTACATCAGTGAGCAATTCCTTAACTGCACTCAATAGCAGAGTGACAGTGCAGCTGTGTTTGTGGCTTTTCTCCTCTCTCTTTTTTCTGCTTTGGACTGGTGATTAAGTGGCAACTGATCTTGTGTGGCAACAGCATCTCCAAGGACAACTGTCTAATTTGAGCCCCTATATGTCTATGGACATGTTCGGACATGTCCATGGACAACATGGGGTCAAGCCAGTGGTGGACCCAGAAAAAAAATGAAGGATATGCACACTTTAAAAAAATCTGTCTAATCTAAATGTCATATCATATATGGCAAAAGAATAACACAAAGAGCTCAATCAATTAAAAAAAGCTCAATCAAGTTTCGCATATTATGTTTCAGAAAAATAATTTCGAATTTACGAAATTACAATACAAATAGTCGTACATGAAAGATACACAAGAATAACTTCGGTTTGCCCTTCAGCTGCAGCCTTTTCTATTTTGACCTCATGTTTTCAACAAAATGGACATAATATTACTAATCCTCTTTATCTTGAGTTCTGCAAGTACAACAAAACAAGAAGTAAGAGTCCTACAATTACAACAAAACGATGACGATTGTTTTGCTCAAAGGATAAATAGTTTTTATGTCTTTAAACGAAGAAGAATATGAGCTTAGAGCATCTACAGCCGGGCGCCCCAAACCCTCCTTAAACGCCCGAGCGACCCACCCGGTCATTGACCGGTCACGAAATTTTGACCCAGACGGTTGGCTCAAATGGGCCTCAAACGCCCGGACTAACTGGCATCCCTCATATCCAGTCCAAATATGGGCCGGATATGGAGGAGTCGGGCGCGTCCGAGCACGCACGCCATGTCAGACTGACGGCAGGGTCCCACGCAGAAACGCCCGGAAATCTGGCGATCCGAAGCTCGTTTCCTCCGTCGAATCAATGTCACTGCATGGCGTCGCTCCAGCGGGCCGCGTAGTGCCTAACCCGACTATTTAAAGTCGACCGACGGCACCAAAACTCTACTATCCACATTTTCCTCTGCATGTCCGCCGCCGCCGCCACTTTCCATTCCCTCCGTCCCCCTAGTAGCCATGCACCCAGGCCGCCGGGTGAGGAGCCACCAATTTCTAACGCCGGAGCACCGGCTCGAGCTCATTGAGCAGATCCGGGCAAGGCGCCCTCCTACCCGACAGGAGATGGAGGCCGCGGAAGAGGTGAAGATGTTCACCTACATGGATGAGGTCGAGCAGGAGGAGGATGAGCCGGAGCCCTCCTACTCGCCCGTCCAGCCGGCGCCCGGCACCGTCGTCGTGGACATCTCTGACGCCGAAGATTATCTAGGGCAGTACGTAGAATTTCTTTTGCATGCTTTGTATGGATCTAGTGGTTAAAATATGAGAGACTCGGATGTAGAGTGGCTAATTTGAGACATGACCGGTCACTATCCACGAGCGCACCCGGTCGCGTCCGTGGGCGTTTGAGGGGCCGGATTTGCAAAGCCCGGCTGTAGATGCTCTTAAATGGGCTGCAATGTTCTATTTCCATGGACCAGCGGGTGGTTGATGCGGGTGATCCATGCATCCGGATGGTCAATGGCAACCGTTTCGAGGCGGACGGCCGGTGGCGAAAGGAGTGGAAGGGACTAGGCGACAAGGCAAGCGGGCGAGGGGAGGGAAGCACGGGGAGCGGCGATGTCCGAAATTTAGACAAGCAGTCGAGGCGGGTGATTAGGTTTGGATGGCCGGTTTCCACATTCGTATCCATGGAATTGTCTCAACAAATAATGTGGTAGATCGAAGAGTTCTTTTTTTTTCTGTTTGCAATCTACGAGTCGCCACTAGAGTTTCCGTCGAGTTGATCGATGGAATTGGTCTAGCTAGCTTTTACCGGGCTCATGTATATACTGGAGTCTTGGCTGGACACACACGTAGTGCTGCTAGTAGAAAAATCAGTCAAGCTGCTTCTATGGTTTGCTAAGTTTGCATGCACGTGTACAGCTTTAGGTGACTGAGTTCTAGTACTGTAAAACCAACAAAATCAGGAAAAGATGACATGTAGTGAAAGAAATCTGCAAAATGCTGGGTGTGCCACGGCACACCCGGCACATCCTCTAAGTCCGCCAATGGGTCAAGCCCCATTTGGCCTCTTTTCCAACGGCCCCTCCATTTATCCCGTCCCCATATGTCAGGCCCCCTTTTTTTGCCTTTTTTTTGCAGTATTCATTTCTTTAACCGAACTTGTATTATTAAGCATAAATATTATTCGGGGTACATCAAACATAAAATTCAAACGACATCATAAATCTAAAAGGTTTCCATGATGTATCCGAAAGTGTTCCTGGAGATCATTGAGTTACATGCACTTCGATCTTCAAGTTGCCAATGTATCTCTAGTAAATGTGCAACATGCTCCCGGGTGACTGGGGTGCCACGCAAAGCAGCCGTGCCTAACAGATTAGCACACTTCTAGATCACCTCCACGTCTAAGTCATCTCAGTTCTTGTCATCTTCGTCCTCTTTGAGATCCTCCTCACTCGTCTCGGAGTCATTTCCGTCTTCTTCAAGATCCTCGCTCACCCCGGAGTCATCTCCATCCCCTTCAAGATCCTCGCTCATCTCAGAATCATCTTCGTCTTCTTCAAGCTCCTTCTCTACACATAGAAATAATGCTCCATGATTTGGATAACAATCATTTTTGTTATGAACTTCCTTTAGCCGAATCCAATAAATTAATAAACACCAAGACATTGGAATAAAACAGCTAGAGATTAGATCTCCTACATACCCATGTCATGCAATTCGGGACACCACCTGAATCAATTGAAACAAGATCACATTCATTAGGTTCTGAAACAAGAAAGACTCTTATAATGCAACAAGTTGATGTTTCTAGAGTAAGGCAAAATGTACCGCAACAACGATGGATAACATGGGTGAAGAACAAGTTCACCTGTTCGTCTCAGCGATCATTTGATCATGGAAATCCTCCACCGAGTTGTATTGATTCATGAAATAAACCACCGTGGCATCAGACTCGTCGGTTCCTTCAAATTAAGCAAATATATAATTACTGACTGAAATTTAAAGTCCCAGCAATATGATATCATTTAGGTAGGACTTTAGAGCAAAATATAGGCAATATAAATTTGGTGAGAAGTAACATTAGCTAATGAAATGTAGGTGAACTATCATATTTTCAGCATGCAAGTTGGGCACCAAAGAATCCTGTTTTTTTTCCAAGGACTGCATAATAACATCATCTACGAGAGCCATATCAACATAAAAAGGCAAAGATTTAATGAAGCCGGAGAATGATCTCATAAATACACGGTGTCATATGAAGCTGGACAACAATCTCACAAATAAGAGGATGGCAGTAAATGAAGTTCCAAATTGTGTTCTAGACTGAACTTCCTTTTCCACATTGTGATGTCTGTATTGCTTCACCTTCACTCTGCATGTATTGTTTGAATAGAAAGAGAGATACTCGTCTTGGTTTCATGAATCAGGACAAGTTTGAAGTATTTAATTAGTTTTGTGGTTGCAGGATAGAGAAGATTATCAATATTTTTTAATGGTTGAATGTGAAAAATGCATACATGTGGGATCTTGGACAGTGTGTGCAGCTGAAAAAACTTTGTTGCTTGCCAAAATGCTGGTACCAGCATGTTGCACATGTTTGCACGGAATGGAACTCTCATGAATGAAGCTATGCCTTGAAACAATTTATCATTATATGTTTACACGCAAATGTGCAAACACTTAAGACAACAGAGCGCGCACGAGATGGTACCAGGCAAGGGGCGATACTAGGCGAGCTCCGGCGGAAACTGCCAAGCATGGACCAGGCGGGAGGAGAGGTCCGGCATCCCCAAACCTTCGAACTTGTCCCACTGCACCATGCTCCCGTTCCGCAGGTCGACGGAGAAGATGTGCGCGTCCAGGAAGAAGTAGACCTCGTGCGCCTTCATCAGGTCGACGAGCGCCACCGTGGGCAGTGGGCACCACCCCGGGCCGCAGAGGAGTCTCTTTGTAGCTCTTGTGGCTCCAGATCTTACCAAGGGCACCTCGTGCGTCGGCTCCCATTTCGCCTCCGACGGATCGTTGGAGGACAGCGTCCACATGCTGACCACCACTTCGTCGGAGCCATGGATCTGCACGTACCGCAGGCGGCCCTCGCTCACCTTCAAGCAGCGGTGTGAGTCGCCGTTGATCGTGGACGGCGCGAAGTGCAGCGGGTGAAGCACACGCGGGAACTTGATCTGGCGAAGCACCGGCTTCTCGTCGAAAGGGTCGCAGGCGAGGAGTCGAACCACCAGAGGAGCCCGCCGTGGGCGAGGACGCCGTCGCCGTTGTTTTTCTCGTCGGCTCCACGGCATGCAACAATGTGCACCCATGGTTGCAGCTCCGGGGGAGATGGCTGCAGCTCCGTGCAGATGGTCGTAGCTCCGGTGGAGATGGCCCCATGGTAGCAACTCTGGTGGCGTCATGTCACATGTGGCCGTTCGGCGCTCGTGTTGGTTCCAGCAAAAACAATTACCAGTTGTAACATTTTTTGCCATGGATGCAGCTCTACCGCACAGACGCTTGACTAGTTCCAGCAAAAAAGAATGCCGGCCATAGCAATTTGATATTTTTCTT